CTGAATTGTGTAGATGGAGAAAAAACCATTACCAGCCACTCTCTATGGCCTTGTGAAGTTTGATTATTCTCTTTCTGTGTAAAGTTTGAATGCAATCCAACCAACCACACGATTGACTTGAAACAATGGAAGACTCTATTTTCAATAATGTTGTAAGTACAAACAAAATCAATCAAAGAAAGAAGAAAGTATAGTTGAAAGAGTTTGAAACAGAGTTTGGAAAAGGAAACATAAGAAACCCTAGAAATCGTGTAAGTCACCAAAGCCTAGAAATCGTGTAAGTCACCAAAGCCAATAAGATGGCAAATCGTGGAATTTGGCTTCAATCCACACTGCACTAAATCTAAGCCTTCCAGATCCATGCCTCATTAACACAAAGTCCCGAAGTTTTCCTCCTATGTAGTTTCCCCGAAGTGTTGTAGATGACTCATATGGCAAGCCTAGAAATAGATTTCCAGAACTGAAATCGTTGATGGCATTTCTAGGAGCAGGCGTTTCCACATAATTCCTTCTGAACCAAATCTCCATTTATCAAATTGATTTGCGCTTCAAACTGGCCTTCCGTAAGATATAATGTTTTTTCCATATAGAACATAGCGTTGATGAATCTCGAGTCCATACCCACATCTACTTGTAGCAGTTCCCACTCACTCTTTTCTCTTTTCAATGTCAACAACCAGAGGTTTTTTTTACTCTCGGAGAGGACATACACTGCAGCTTTTTCGTCTATTGGATCATGAGAGACGGAAGAAAACAGGGGCTTATGATGAGAATGCAGTTTCGGGAGCTTCATTGTGCATTCACCAAAGATGTGATAAAGTCGAATCTTTCTTTTTGCTTCCTTGTACAATATAACCCATGACTCAATTGCACCAAATACCTTCCAGCCTTTGAACCTCTTTAGCCTATGGTATTTCTTTCTATTCTTTGGATCGAATGCGACCAATTTTCCCGAAGAATCTTTCATGTAGACTATCCATAGAGTGACTGATTCAGATTCGGAACTCTAGAAGCCGCTGGTCCATGGACGCCAACCTTGGCAAACACATCTTGTAGACACCAACTTTATGGCCCCGAGTTTTTGGCATATGGTCAGCAATATCGCTGCATAAATTTGGCCATTTGCTTTCCCTAAACAACAATAAACAATTTACATTATGGCTAGAGAAATCAGAGTAGAACCTTGTAACTGCAGCAACTTCTAAAGATGTATCATTGGTAATATTAGTCTCCATCGCTGCCTGTAAATGCAAGAAAGAAGCCGCAATCACAAATCAGTATCACAGCGAATCTGATAACTTTAAGTTGCCAAAGACTGAACATCCTATTGTGCATTACTGAGAACAAAATCAAACAAAAAACCAATAATTCTTCTGTGTGCTACAGCAAGATTTTTTTTGGATAAATATTTATGATAATTATCACGTCTAATAATTCTTTCATGACTGTCGAATCAGAATGTTAAGTTGTTACCACCAGCTCTTATGCTTTGCTTCTGACACTGGTATTCATCTGTGTGACCCCGTAAACAAGGAGTTAAACAAATCACCCGAATCTACTTTGTCTCCATGGTGTTTCAATAGCTCAGACGGCGAGTGTCTCGTCTCCTTTGGATTTGTAGACGCCAAGAACCAGTACAAAGTCATCAAGTGGCCCCAGGACTTAGAGGAGAACCGTACAAGAAGGTTGCCAAGTGGCCTCATCACGACTTGGAAGAAAGTTGATCTCAAGTTTGAGGTATTGAATATGGATATTGCAGAAGATGGTCACCTTAAAGTATCCAGTTGGAGAAGGCTACGTAGGCCATGTCCCTATCTACTACAACTCTCTTCTCGGGTTCACGTCAATGGGTTCATCTACTGGACCACTAGTGATTTTCAGATCGTGTCTTTCTCTTTACAAGACGAGACTTTCTCAACCCTAAACCTTAAACCTCCTTGCTTCCGCCTTGACACACAAGGATCACAACACAAATCATCTCGATTTTTCACGTTATCTGGAAGCCGCGGAAACTTATGGATGATAGATTACCATGTCTTGTCTTAAATCATCGAGATTTGGAAGATGGAAGAAAGTGCATGGGCCAAGATTCATAATATCGATCTCAGAGAAAACCATCCAAACAAAAACGATGGTAAAGTGGAGATGCTAGATATTAGGTCGGACCAAGTTTTGTTCAGGCTATCGTCGAAGCGGCCGTTGATATGCTATGACGCCAAGACAAACACCCTCAAGAGCTACGAGAAAGTGTCTAAAGACTATCAACTATGTCACTCCACCGATGGACTCTTGTCTCTACACAACATCGATATGTATGTTTGACTCTTTTCCACATACAATATTCCTCGATCTTCCTTTTAGGTTTTTTTCTTGAGATCTGTTAGAGATAATCTTTATAGTTTCTTTCACTATTTAGTATTTGATGATTTTTAATAATTACTTCATTATCAATCATAAATCAAATCATACATACATTACTTGCGGTTTCTTTTTAATAATTGCATACGGTTTGGCTTTGAACTCTGAAAATACTTTATCCACCCCGAGGGATACACATATATATAAAAAGGAATATTGTTGAATCTACCATTTGTGGTGAAATTACTTGTGATATCTATCATTATTGAAAACTCCTAATAAAATCTACCACAATTGCATTATTCACATTGACGTAAAGACAATTATGCCCCTGCATCAACTTTGCTTAGTTTATGTTTTTGTCCACCATAACCGGTTTCGTCACCACCGTCTCCGACTATAACCACCGGTTCCGGTTTTGTCCACCGCCTTCTCCGTCCATAACCACCGTGTTCGTCTTCGTCTCCGATGGTGTTCATTGCTGTCTTTGTCCACCATCCACCACCGTCTCGATGCAGACTCATTGTGTTCATCTCCGTCTTTGTCCACTATTTATCACCGTCCATAACCAC